CAGTAGTTGGCCTTGTTTACCAGAATGTTCTCGTTGAGGTTTGCAGTTTTGGGATGCATCTTAATGTATGAAAATACATTTTGCATTTTGCCACTTTTTTTGGTGTCCAAGGGAGCTGAATATTAAAAGCGTTCCACTTACTTTCATTTCTGCCTCATTTTAACACTGTTTGTCTATGTCATTACTCTTATTTTTCCTCAGAAAAATATACTACCATAGTCTAAGGCAGACAGCTTCTGAGTGGCTGGGGGCTGCATGTACCCTGGGTGACATCCTACATTTTGTGGATTCCCCAACTCCTGCTGCGCTGCTCTGGCACCCCCCTGCCATCTTATGTAGCTCCCCACTACTGCACTGCATGCCAGGCAGCCTGTGTTGTGCTGTGCTGGTGCCCCCAGGTTCCCAGCTGTGGGCTTGCTCGGTGCTGCGGGATATCCTGCCCCATCCTACCTCATGCAGGAGGAGGGAGAAGGAGCCCCAGAGACCCCAGCAACAGGAGAGCAATGGGTTCACCCTCCTTGGGGAGCCACACTGGCTCCTGGGCTGCCAGCTGGGCAGCCCTGGTCTACAGTAATGCTCCAGCTCCACACCATATGACTTAAGCCTACATATAGTGCTTCTATAGCTTTTAGAGCCATTGCTGTGGGTTGGCTGTAGCACTTTTGAAATCTTGGTTCCCCACTGCGGGGCTGATAGTACAATCACGTAGCAAAGAAGTGCATGCCCCATGTCACAATATGGGGGAAAAAGCCTCTTTCGAACAGCAGAAGGAATCTGAGATCTATGGCATAAATGGTGATTTCTCTCCAAGCAGAGGTGGTCAGCCTCCAAATGCTCCTTTGCTTTGAAAAGTACTCCACCTTGTGTGAAGGTGGGAGACAAGAGGAACCATGTTCCCACTTTATTCAGTGGAAATTTGGGCCCAGTGTTCAGTGGGATCAAGATTTGATTTAAAGCACATAATCAATCTGTGCTGGGCACCAAGCCTCTGCAATGAGGCTGGGGTTCAGTTGAAAAGGATTTTTTTGGTTCCTTAAAAGACCTATATTCTGGTTCAAAAGTATACAGTTCCAACTGGGTTCAAGTTCAGAATATTGCCATCTCATACCTGCCTGAATGAAGACCTTGTCAAACACCAAAGATATCCCACTTTGGAAGAAGACTAGCTAGTGCATAACAGCTATGACAGAGGAAGTCCCAGCAGGTCTATGGAAGGGCATGCAATCTGGCTTCCATATGTCTCATAAAATTACTCGAAAATGGCCTCCTGGATTCCAGGTTTCCATATATCTATGCATCTCACATGAGAATGCTGGAACATAAAGTTGTCTGTCAGCTTGAAGACATTGAGTAATGCAGAAGAAAAGTGACTAGATTTATCTCCTGGAAATGCACATCTTGTGGAGGACCCACATGGGAACAGTGGTCCGTATACCTTAACTGAGTGCAGCTGGTGTGGGAGTCACAGAAAATGACACTTTCCCATCATGAGTAGTACACGTCCCATCCCCATCTGGAGCACAGTCTGTGACTGTATTGTTAAACTTATGACTGCTGAAGGAACTACTTGAGAATAAAAGCATCTCTCCTTAGGCTACTGGTTTACTTTATTCTGCAATCCTTACTTTGGTGACTGACTCATTAAGTGTGCCAATCATAAATCTTTGTATTGATGGAGCAGCACTATATTTATGTACCACAGATTACTATATCCTTTTTTATTTGGATGCATGGATGTTTACAGGTGGCTCTGGCTTTTTATGTGGCAGAGTCTGGGTTGCTAGGCCTTTATTATTTGTCCCAGTGCCTATCTCCAAGAGCTTCCTGGAGCTATCACGAAGAAGTCCTTCTGGGTTCCAGCTTATCTGAAATTTAGACTCAAATTTTGTGTGCTCTTTTGCATCCAGGCAATAAATCTTGTAGTAGCTCAACTTTTATAGGAACGGTGCCTCAGGCAAGGACTGTGTGGCCTAGAAAGTAAGAAAGAAGTTTAATATTTTATACAATTTCCAAACGCTGCTTAACTGCTACCTCTCACTGAGAGACTGGAAGCCAGAATGGCTTGCTCAGGCTACCTTATGAGTGTAAGTTTTATGTCCGCTCAGTCAGGGAACAGGAGCAACTGCCTACAATCAAGGTGACTTGGTCGAGCTAACCAACACGGTCCAAAAATTAAACTTTGGGAAAAATAGGTTGAGTACTGTGGAATAATGGACACATATGAGGAAATCATGATTTATGTTGAGGGGAAAAAATAGATTACATTCTATGCGTAAACTGTCTGTTGAAAATTAGAGTCTGTGCGTGTGTGTGCGTGCGCACGCGCGTGCATGCATGCGTGTGTTAGACAAATGTTTCTTGCAGAAAAAGGGACCTGAACATAAGTTTCCCTGGTCTGTACTTTGGGAAAGTTTGAATTTGGATGCAAGACTTGGTCTCATTTCTGATTTTGTGAATGGTGAACAATCAGATTCCATGACACCCTTATGTGCGACTGTTGTAACATTTGGCTTCATGCTGTTCTTCAAGGTTTAGAAGTTCGTGCTGCCATCCAACAAATTTAGGGGGAAGGTATTCAGTTTTGTGGTGCTCAGGTGATTGGTTAGATATCGAAAATGGGGAGTAATTTTTTGGCAAATGTGTAGTGAAAAAGACCTACTACAATAGTATTTTGTATGCTTTTATTCCCTCTACTCATGAAACATAATCACACACGTAGTGCTGAGAATATTACTGTTAATTAATAATTGTATTAGCTCCTAAAGGCAATGACAAAGCTTGGCTTTATTGTTCTAGACACTGTAGATGTACAAAATAAATTATAGGCCCTGCTTGTGAGAGGTGCCGTGGTAGAGCACCTAAGGCACCTTGCTGCAGCTCCAGAGGCATGCATTGACGCCTTCTTCTAGGCTCATTGTAGTGCCTCCCTCAGTTAATCCAGCTGTAAAGGAAGGTAGCTGGCTGGGATGCTAGTCCTACTGTTTCTTTGTGAAGTTTTAGCTAAGAAACATGTGCCTGAACCACATTAGCTTAATTTTAATCAAGGGAAAATGTGGATTTTGGGTTACTTTTTTTAATCTGAAAATTGGGGATTTTTTGTTATCATTGAAAACCAGGATCCCTGTTAATAAGCATGAGGAGGAGTGGTTTCATACCTGCTCAGCATCAACAACTGGGACTGGAGTTTCAAAAGAAACTGTTTTGGGTTGAGCTCTTCTTTTGCACCGGTGCTTGTAGGGATGCTAATCTCTCTTTAAAGTCTGGCCTTGCACTAGGCAATGCTTTCATGCCAAATAATCTTTCAGTAGGAGCTTGATTTAAAGAAGGAAATCAGAAGCAGTGGGTTAGCAGTGGCAGCTAAACCCCAGGGTGTAGGTCTTGGAGTAGGACTGGACTGGAGGAAGCAATAGTCTAGTCAGTATATTTTAAGCAGTTTACAAATCTCATTCCCTTTATTTTGCCAGTATCAACACCACAGCTGGTTGGGGATTGAATGCTACGTTAGCTGATAGGGGTGTAGGTAGCTGATAACTTTCTGCCGTAGCATCTGTATGGGGAGTATTAGAACATGGCCCCCACAAGGCATCCATAGGATAAGACAAAGCCATATGAAGCTGGTGATCAATAAATGATCCCCCCCACTGCTTCCATCCTCACCCAACACCCCCC